TTTTGCTGCTTTAAGGGCCACGTGTTTCCGGATGTCTTGGTGATGAGCTAGACAGCTGTTGAAACCGAGAGCGACCACACATTAAGTTGGACTTACTGAACTTGTTCTTTACTTAGGTAATAAGTGCCGCTCATTGCGGTCTATAAGCTGCATATCACTGGGTTGAAGAACAGTAATACTTTTGATTTCGTAGAGTGTAGAATCTTGAGAAAGTATCAAAAATGTTGGTCCCTCAGTTACGTTCTATGCAAGTCATTTCATGCTCCTTGGTTTTATTACAATTATATGTGAATGCATCGGAAGGGGGAACCGGATAGGTCTGCACACCGCTTGCCGCAGTCCGCTGAGGTCAGTCGCCCCATCGACTGCCGGCCCGCACGTATTCAGTCTGCAAACTTCGTTCTGTGTCTCCGCTGCGCCCGAGCTGCCTCGACGGGGTTCTGGCGATCGACCATGACCTGCTCGACACCCACCCCATCCTTCTCGCTCTTTCACCTTCGCTCACCATACACTGTGATTGAAATTAAGCACTCTCGAAGGCTACGACCATTCTACATAATTAGCTAGCTTATCATTCTACCGGATTCTCCTCATACAATAGGACCTCTTTCCTGAAGTCACTACACTCCATAGAAGAGCCCAGGCAGTAGGCATTCAGGCAAAGGTCTGGCTTTGAACTCTACAGTACTGCATAGTCGATAAACTGGATCTCTGCAATAACTAGACATCATTGCGCTACACAATGAAGCAACCGAAGAAAGAATCAGTCAAGAGATATCATTAGGTAATGGCTTACTGTTCCTTGCAAGGTGGAATTGATGATATGGAATGAGACTGTTACTGCTAGAAATTTTGTTGGGTGCAATAGTGCCTTTGACCATCTTCTTTTGGGAGTTCACCCAGAAAAACACTTGAGAACCCCGTTCAGGAGAATCATTCGGCATGGTGGAAAGCGGATTAGCACCTCAAAACACCTCTAGAAATGCAAGCCGATTTCGAGTGGCCACTTCGATGTGAGGCCCTTCCCTTGACTGGTCTTCTTGCTTCCCGAGCTGTTATTCATTGGCCATAATTTATTCGAATTGATTTCTTGACAACCTGTCTACCTCTTCTACTTTCGCGCAGGAGAAGTAACAAAGTCTTACATCGTCATAGACGGACTATTGCTGTTTAATTTATCATTCCCGTATCAATCATTTCCTTGGTTCGGAATGACTATCTATAGCTAAGGTCACACGTTTTACTGGGGCTGATGCAATCTTCAATCTTTTAAATCCATATGTATTGGGTTGCTCAGAAAGTTTGCGCCAAGTTTTGAGGTAGGCTTTGAGTCAAAATTTTTCGAGGAACAGATCTAAACATTAAACATTTATGCTCCAGTTTTCTCTGCTCTGCTCTATCACGCATGTCATCTTTCAAAAAGTTCCATTGTTCCATTTCGCAGGGAGTTAGAATCAAAAAATTATCCTGAGGGCATTTAACATTTTTTTAGAAAATTAAAAATTTCCAACGAGAACTGCACATAGATCTGATCAAAGGGTAGTCTGATGGTGCCACGTCCGTACTGGGGGATGACGGAAGACATCTCATTCGAACTCCATCAATTTTCGACCAGTGGTCAGGGGGATACGTGCGGTCTGGCGCTGCTCTGATGAAAGACCACACCCTCACGTTTGGCTAGTTCTGAGCGCTTCTGTTCTACTGCTGCCTTCAATTCTCAAATGAGTAGAAAAATTTTCAGTGGTGATCGTTTGGCAGAGCAGTAGCTCCTAATGGGTGATTCCTTTTGAGCCACACCAGCAACAAGGCGAAGTCTTCAGTGCATGGATTTCGGTTTTCGGACTGGTTAGTGGGAGATCGCTAGAGTCATTCCATAATAGTTTTCACTCGACGTTGGACGTTGTCGTACGTAAATCATCTCTCATCTCCTTTACCATGCGTTGCAAAAGTGCTGATTCTCGCTAAGTTCAAGCGACGAAAGAGCGGTTGAACAGGCTGCTCTCAGTCAGTTTCTGGGGTCTCGAATACTAAAGCAACTTTCAAATAAAGTTCCATCAAATGGTCGTGATTAGTCAAGTTTTACACACTGAGCCTTTTCACTATTTCACGAGTAGTTATGCGCCAATTGTTTTCGATAGACGTTCTGATTTGTCGTTATAAACTAGAGATGTCCTCCACGGCCACTACCGCTCTCCGAAAGCGGTTCAATCCTTCTTAAATTTTGCAAATTGAAATTTTGCACTATATGTTTTGGTTATGCAATGTCTCCGCAGATGTCACATCTTTTTCGCAGTTTGAGCTATAGTTTTTGCTATAAGAGAAGGTTCAGGTGTAGGAAATGCTCTCGATTTTGCATCTCCTCCACCCCAGCTCTGCATAAAAATACCTCAAGGAATTCTAGAGTAGTTTAAAATGAAACTCAGGGATACATTTTTTCAAAAAATATGTTAAGGTTGTGTCAGTTATCGCCCAAGCATCAAACACTTTCCATGAAAGGATTGGTGAACCTACTGCATCCAAAATCATCAGGAACTTTCCAAACAAACCAGTATTTAAATTCCGTCTAAGATATTCTTTGGTCAATTGATTCGAGCAGGGGACCCTGCGATGGCACGGGATTAACGTTAGGGAGAAAAAAAGGTCGATAGGTTCGAGCTTCCTTTCTTCTGAGAACCCCTATAAATGTCTTTCGGAAACTTTCGGAAGCCTACTTTCTACCCTCCAGTCCACCTTTGACCATCTTGTATTATTTTGGACAATGCGATTGTGCGATTATATTTCGTGTTGTCGTTGTCATATCATATGTATCTATTTTCAGACCCATTCATTACAAGCACGTTATAACGTCAGCACTCACTCACAGGTGTTCTTATTACACTTTAGCCTTTGGCTCATATTTCTGAATCTTTTGTTTCTGTATGTTTTACGGTGTTTTTTCCTTCATCATTCTTCTATCCTTACAGTTGTCGCGCCCCGCTGCAGTACACGCCCTAAGAAATCCTAAAAGCACGAGGAAAACACGTGTTTCCGCTTGCTCTTCTTTACTTAGGCCGGTTTTAGGCCATGTTTTTCGAAAATCAAATGAACCTTAGCACCATGAGCTTGATATTTTGGAAATCTGTAATAGCTTGATCGTGAGGCATCTTGTCTTCTTTGATGTGGTGCTGCTCCTGTTTTGAAAGAGAGCGATTAACTTAATAAACGTTCTACAGAGCCTTGATAGCAGGTTTGTGTACGAATCTCGTTGTTTACTTGATTGCAAGTTAGCTTTTCCTTTGTTGAGTGACCCCATATGTCAATACGAAGCATATCCTTGAGATTGATCACCTCTCATACCCTCACCGAACCAAATTACGCGGCTGTAATGTAATGGCTGTGCGATATGGGACAGGTTTCGCAGTCCGGAATTCGTAATACAGTAGCCCGAGTCATCGCTGTTGCAGTAGAGCACGAGCGGTAAAAATCCTTCTGGTTGCTGCTACCTGATTCAGGGAACTAACATAATCTTTGATGAGAAGAATAAATCTACAATCAGAATCCCCCAAGTTCACTTTGCTTGTACTCAGACTCAGAGGTAGTCTTGCTTTTTTACAGAAAACTCAGTATGTTAGCGTGAATGCAATAGGCCCCCTTCGGAAGGGTATGCAAGATGAAGTGTGAATACAGTAGAATGCACATCAACAAGCAATAACCTTTTTGTTTTTTCCAATAGATTTCTTCTTATTGAGACCGTTTGAATAACTAATAGAAACAACTAAGAAAGTGAGCAGAAAATGTGAAGATTTTTTTCTTTTGGGTATTCTTTTCTTCACATCTTTTGCTCACACTCATGTTTACTTGTTCCCAATTATTCCATCCTAACCTCTAATTCGAATCACTGTGGTATAGATTCATAGGATTTAACTTTGTGATTGATGAGCATGCTTGCTCTCTTGAGTGTTTTATGTTATTTCGAAGTATCAGTTTAACTTTAAACCGACCTAATCAAATCATTTCTGACACGTGAGTCCCACTGGTAGAGCGTTGTAATGCAACAGAACACCGAAATGACTACTGGGGCTGTTATACCACAAATTCCTCGAATTTCGGAATCTGTCCTGTTCGTTCGATTGCCCGAATGCCGTTCAATGATACATACATATAACGGCCACCTCTTGATGGACACTTATTTTCTTTGTCATTTTCATTCCTTTCCTGCTTCTCCCACTAACCGATCTCACAGGTCCAGGGCAGCGACGGACGATTCACGTGATTAGAGTATGGGGCATACGTGGGAGCTGGACCACCACAACGGCAGCTGCAAGTACTGGAACCTACGCTGGAACCATTTATCAAATTGTTTGGCACTTTGCCGAGCAGTGGGCTCATCTCCCGTCTCGCCGTATTTTGTGGGTGTAAGTTCTTCTACTCGAACGGCGTGATGGACTCGCCACAACTGACCGCTCGCATCGCTGTAAAGGGGCAGATTCGGATTCCGAGTGACTTATGGTGATTGATGCAAAATCCCTGCCAATTGCCGTGGGACCTATGTAATTTGTTTTGTGAGGAAGTAAAAAGCTGTAACTTCACCGCTATGGCACTTTTTCATATTTGGGGCCTTACAATAGTGGAAACATCATTTGCAGCCTGACTGTGATTCGGGATCGTTTATTTTTTCCGTCGCTGTCCTCTGGAAATTGGGCGGAACCCCCCTTCTAAATAGGTGCTTCTATTTGCAATCATGCTGTCCCAGATCAAAGCTTCATGCGATTTTTGTGATTTTTGAAAATCTCGGCCTCTAGAACTCAAGGAACTGGGTTCATTGATATATCCAACATTGGAAAAAAACAGCTTCGAACTGGCTTAGAAAGTTTCGAGTTTCTCACGTGGATTTAGGATTAC